CCACGACACCGCGACGGGATCGGCAACAATCTCGTGTGACACACTAATATTTGACCTGTCTGCGGCTTGAGCAAAGGGGATACCACCCATTGCCACCCATGAAGAAAGTCATCATGCAACTTAGCATTTCCGAGTCACAACATCCGTTTGTCACAGAATCTGCTCTTCACGCGGCCTGGCGGGCCTGAGAGACATGTCTTCAGACCAAGCACCTGCATACCACGGACGGCTCGAGCCACCGCTGGGAACGACGACAGAGATGTCGTGAGCCTTTGAGATGTCGTTGGCATTCTGCGCATCGAAGCCTTTTAGAACTCCACAAGGCTTTGCTCGGGTGAAACCAGAGCTTCGTGCAGCTCAATCCAAAAAAACAAAAGCGAGCGATCGGATTGGATACTGTTCGCAGTTGGATAGCATGATTGGAAGCCTTCCTTGGTCTTCCAAATCTTCCGTGGTTGTAAGCTATGAGATTCTTGGTCAGTCTGCTGTGTGGTGAATCTCGCCACTCTCGTGCAAACATGTCCCACCTCGTATTGATGGAACTGCAGTTGGTGTCTAATGATCCATAGTCTACCACTTGCTAGACTTGTTGATAAACTGTGTTGTTGCATTTTGCAAGTGCTCTCGTTCCAAGGTCACATGCGATGCGGTGCTTCTGCTCTTTCTAGCCGTGACGCAAAATAGTCAAGGCAGTTAACTGGTCACAGCGAACAGTCTCCCTTTTTTATGCCTTGCGAGCTGTGTCAAGGTTGGTTGCTGGAGGAAATCCACAACAAGGGTTGCGAGATCTTTATAGTTACACTATATAATGGTTTTTCGGGGTAAAGCAAAAGGAGGACAACACGATAGGTGGCTTTTACGTGGTTCAGGATTTTGTGTCTAATTGTTCTGCTAGTCTCGGATTACACCTGGGTTCATAGATTTCCTCCTTCAATAGCGATGGGACTTCCGGGCGTGTTACCCAGAACTTCCCCCATTCATGAAGTGCGTCGCTCCAAGATGTTCCAAGTGAGGCTGCGCGAATCTAGCGGTGATCTTCTGGCTTGGGTCGCGCGGGGAACAAAGACCCCGTCAACAAATGTTTCCACTGACGCCAATCGAAGCTGAGCTCGCGCAACTTCCCCTCCTTCCTTGGACCTTGGACAACATATTTCTTTATGTACAAACGGACGCCCTTTGCAAACGGGCTGTCTTGGTTCTTGCAAGTGGGTCGCAGCACGTTTGGTCTTGTCCTACAGGTCTCACCTCAACTAGAAAAGGAACACCGGAAGAACAAGCAATAGCATCTATCAATACCTTGCCCGAGGTCTGTGATACCCTATCAACACGACGTTTTTGGGCAAGCGTGCGCCATTTTGTGGTAGTGTCACTTGTGGGCATGGCTTTGCTCCTGCACCAACGGACCCAACAAACACAGGAATTGTTCCAAGATTCCTCTGACAGCTTGCCTTTTGGCCCACAACGACAATTGAGATGAATTGGGTGTCGATGGTGCAGATTCTGCAACATTCAGGACCTCGGGATTCGGGATGATCGAAATGTGTCCCCACATAAAACGAGGATCATAGCCCTGCCAAAGCCAACAGAAAAACTGGCAACCACTTCAAATAGAGGCAAATCTTCTGAACATTTCTGAGCCAGCTCTGGCAGTTTCACGTTTATTCCCCCTATGCTTGACTACAGTGGTGGGGTCGAAAGATGTAACACACTGGTCGTCTCATCGTCTCCTGGCTTTCGTCCACTCAGGAGACAACTCAGGATTCCACTAGACGATTTCTCTGGGTTTGGGATGAACTATGGATCAATTGAACCAATGGATCAATTTGAGCCAATGTATCCAACGATTCCATGGGTCAATTCATCAATATGATTGATATTTAACCAATTAGAACCGCTGTTCAACCCATGTTCAATGTAGAATTGAATCACGTATTGCCCATTGGCAGCCTTTGGTGTGAGATCTAAGCTCATAGCGAGACAGCGTGGGGAAAAGCTGAATTAGGAAAACCACGGAGTAGAATTGATCCAGAACACCACTGAACATGGATGATATGATGTTTCATCTACTCACGGAGTAGATCTGAGGAAGTATCTCAGGAACAACTCAAAGGAGATCATGGGTATCTGCTGAGTACTGTGCTGAGTTGTATATCCACCAAGGATTCCAGTGAAAGGCTAGTAGTCCTGGGTTGATGAGTCGTGTGAACACATCTTTCTATTGAACCTCCCTCAACATACCGAGAGGCTGAGGTAGATGGGAGTTGAGGTCCAAACATCCGTCGAGATCCGTCAAGATCCCGGAGTCGCAAGTTGATTTTTTTTCAATTTCTTACAGGCTGGTGTCCAACGGAGTCGCAGTAAACTCATAGACCTTGACGTGATAGATGTAAGGTCTAAGAGATCTATGGGTTTTTCCGACAATTTGGGTCAAAGTTACCCACTCCACCAGGGTTATCTGAAATGTTCTTCGTCTCGAACCAACCTCAGCCCACCCATTCAAAGCGGGCGAAGCGAAACCCCAAGTTGCTTGGCCTGGCATCTCTGAAGGTCATGGGAAAGCAAGCCACAAACCATGGCATGAGTTCCTCACATTGTCGGACAATCGAATCCAAAAACAGATCAAACTGTCAAAGCTCCTAGTAGTTCACACAGCGCACCCACAAGTGGGACGGGATAGCCCTACCCGCTTGCTTTTGCTTCTTTGAATTCTTTTTTCATGGGGCCACGAAGACTCAAGTTGATCAAAGGCAATCGAAATCATGTCAGTCACCTGTGACAGGAAAACTTGAGGCCAGGGGAGGAAGTCGAAAGCTACCGGATTCACACTCGTGATTTCTTTGTCCTGGCACGTCTCGCCTCCACACTGAGGACGTCAGTAACCGCACCTTGGTCAAAATGGCCGGCAGTGGAACGGATTGCGCTTGCGTAGGCGCTATCGTTTGCGCGGGCGCCACGCGCCTAAACCCTGGCTAATAGCAGTTGCTAGTACCTGTACACTAACTGCTATTATTCAATTCAACAATGACAAACATAGCAGCCATCTGGAAAAGTGTTGGCCTTGACCGGCCATTGCTAAACAGTACCGCAAAGTTGGATGCCCATGTATTCTCATTGTAGTGTGTTCTCACACACCCTGAAATCCGAAAGTTGTTTTGTCAAGATGGGGAAGCGACCCCGTCACCCGCAGAAGCCCGAAGGGTGATGTGGAACCTGCTTGGGTGAGCAAAATCTCAGCAGCTGTCAGGATTGAAGCTTCCTTTGGATTTGAAATTGCTTATACACATTGTGCAATTTACTTTGGAGAGAAAAATTTATTGTAGCAGCATTATGTTGGCTCCACATGCCATAGGAACTTCGACGTCACAAAGGGTGAGCACCCAGCCGCATGGCTGATTGCCTCTCTGCGACCAGAAATGTATGATGTTATCGTGCGCTTGGGAGAGACAATCTGGAAGCCCAATGACGCTACAATCCACTAGTTGATCTGGATTCGGCGCGCTCTGTATTTGTATATGATCTTTTCCCTCCACTCAGGCTCACGCCCGGCTGGCCACACCAGCTCGACCCACGCCTAGCTGGGAAGGAGTTGTCAGGAACATTGGGCAAGTTTGGATCGAACACCGCTATGCCGGGCTTTGCGCCTCAAACCCCCGCGAGCTGCTGCCGTGGAGGAGCTCGTGGTACTGACGGCAGTGAGCAGACCACGTTGTATGAGCCACAGGCAAAATGTCTTACGTACGCTGTTTTCGGCATTAAATCGCAGGAGTGCTCTACAGCAAGCCATCGTTCCCCCTATCGTAACCCTATCGTATGGGGTATCGTTAAGATACTTTCAGTCGGTCGCGCGCCTCCTGCGTGTACACGCACTCGAAGAAGCCACCATCTTCATCCTCAGAAAGGATCACCCAATCACATGTGACACGCACACGCGCTTTAACTTAAACCCCATCGTTCTGAGGTGCTTTCTGGGTCATACACATCTTCGGCCACCAGGTGTTGAAAGCCTTCGGCATGCGCTACGACCTGGCGACAGAAGTAGTTGACCTGCAGACCTTGAGCCTGAAAGGTGCCCGGCTGTGGACCAGCCCAAAAAACTTGCCATGGATGGCAAGCCATGCCTCGCCGTCTGACAAACTCGACTCTTGCGCCGGCAAGCGCAGCAGAAGCTCCTGAGACGGCAAAATCATGGACACTGCAGGCCAAGGGCGTTCGGAGACGGAACGGAGATGTCCTCGCGCACTTGCCGCAAAAAAATGAGTTTGCGGATGAAGTCGAGCTGCGCCTGTCCAAGAGTAATCATGACATCTACGCAAGTCTGGACACGAAACAAGCACCATGGCCTCTGCTCTGCTAGGCTTCTGCACCTTCGCACTGTTTCTTTGATGTTGCAAAATATCGGGGACGGGGTCTGTTACATGTCTTCTATTTACCCAATAGACCGGCTTAGTTTAAAAAAATACTTTTTAGATGATTCCTAAAATTTTAACTAAAACGTAGAATTCCTAGAAAATAGTTAAGTTATGTTTTAAATAAATTTCTAAATTGGTCTAAAATATGATTTAACTATTTTCTGTAAACTTAGCTAAAAACAAATTTAACTATTTTCTGTAAATTTAACTATTTTCTGTAAATTTAGATATGGAAACTTCGAACAAACTTCGAAGTGCCCCCGGTGAAACTTCGAAGCGATATGTTTGGAAATTGAAAGCTCTGTGAGCTCCATGTTTGCACAACTTTTGTGAGCCCATGTGCAGGGTTGCAGGGTGCTGTCTTGGCTTTGGACACACAGTTGCAAGAATATACAAAAGTTGACTTAAAGATCAACCGTTTATAGTGAAGAAAGGGAACACACAATACATCTTTGTTCTTCTGAGACTAGTCAGGCCCTCTCTCTCTCACATGAGAGAAGAGTCTTTGTATAGAGCACTCTCTCATGGTGGCACTCTCTCAAGGTGGTTTTCACTCATTGTCTCTCACAGTGGTCAAGTATGAAACTCTCGCGCCGACACTTTTCCATTGTCATGTGTATGACACATTTTCAGCGCACGCATGCAAACAGTTTTTTTCACTGAAGTCCTGAGCACGCAGTCCATCAAGGGTGATACACACACAGGGTCCCCTAAGCTCTGCGGAGCTCATGGTCCTTGAATACAAAGTGTAGCCCCAACCTGTAGTGTTGGGACATTTTCATGGTTGCTTGAGCTGGCGAATTTCCTTTGACGCACGCTTTGGCTAATAATTGGGTCTTGGCCATTTGGTCTTCCCCTGCAAATGTCCATAGAAGTCTAGGACTCACCTTGTCACACAACAGCACAGACTCCAAAACCATGTGGCTCTTGCTGGTCGCAGAGAAAAGCTGAAGGTCTTCATCCAAGAAGTGTTTCATAATCTGCGTTTGCAAGGCATACATGCCAAAAGTGTTTTGCTTGAATTCACTGGCCGCTGGTTCGGGGAAGGCGTAGTGGTCTTTAAAGTCCGTAAGGAGAGTTTCAATCTTGTAGTTGAGTTTGAGCATCAACGCGATACCTGAGCTGCGCAATGTTTCCTGTGAGACGCATATGGACATGTTTTGCAAAGGCCTGTGTATAGTATCACATGACATATCACACAAGCGTCCATAAAAAACTAGGCGACGAGTGGCCCGAAAGCATTTTTCATCACGTAGGAAGTCAGAGTGCGAGTTATCCGGTAAGTGTGCAGTGAGAAGTGTGAAGTCGAGTGAGTTGAGGTAGTGTGTGGGTTTCTGTGCGTGTGTCTATGTCGACCGTGTGGAAATGAGTCTGCGTATGTGTGTGTTCGTGTAAGTTGAGGGAGTGTGTGGGTGTCTGTGTGTGATGCGGCCTCCCAAAACCCCCACCGGCGGCCAAGCGGTGACAGCCCAGCTCATCGTC